AATGAAGAGGAAGCATTGTAAGAAACAGGAATGAAGAAAAGAATGGTGATGAAGACACACTGAAATTTTAGGTGGGCAGAGTTGGAGAAATAAGATGAACTCTGAAGTAATTCAGGGCTCTGTAAATAGCAAGGGATGCTAGATATTATCACATTTATATCTGGATAAATAATTAGGAATGAGATTGTTTTTATTTGACAAGAGCAAATTTTATGTTGTGCATTCCAATATAACATTAATCTTCATATTTTCAAATGATACTGGGTGGAAATGAAACTATAATACATGGAATTTCACTCTTAAAAAAAGAGGTTAGATAATAATTACTCTTCTCCAACGGTGCTAGAAACTAACAATCTTTGAAAGGCTCTTGTTGTGTATAATTATCTTTAAATATTGGCCATCTTTGTTGAACTTACATTCTTGTAGGCTTCGCTAGAAATCACTTCTCAATTTGTAGATTAGGGAATTGAGATTCAGAAAGATCATAATTGTTTTGTGGCCTTTGATAAGACATTTTTTCTCACTCCCATGTTCAGAGGCTTGCTAGATTTTGGTGTTTTTTGAATGCTTTTCTGTAAATAATGAAAATGGCACAGTTCTTGTAATCACATTTATTCTGTGTGTGTAATTTGGCTCTTTTGTCCTTGCTCTCAACTTTCTTTTATTGACTGTGCATGAATTATAAATGCAAATATATATTACTCAATTTTCCAAGTCTTATGTTCTACAACTTTCTTGTTTATTTTATCCCTAATGCATCTTGATGCATTCCTTATTTTTTTAACTGTTAATTTCCTTTCTCTGGGGGAGAAAATGGAAAGATAGGTAAGATGGCAATTGAGTAGAACACAAATTATCGTCATTGAAAAGTAGGTAAGTGTTGAGGTTGCTCGCCCTCCCACCAATACTTTCTGGTTGATGTGGTTGATTTCCATCAATTACAGCTTAATCATCTAAATTCTGAGTCACTTTAAACCATTTATGTTGAAATAATTGATCTGTAATTTACAGTTAAGTGAAAACACTATCCTTGTTTTACCATTCCCTGTGGGACTGCCCTATTCCTTAAAAAGTAGACTGTGCATAACCTGTTCTGTATAGTTGTTTATTTAGGCTTTTATCAGATTAGCATTCCCTTATCACATTTACCATTAGAAGTTCACTATGCAAACTACTTCCTTTGAATAAATAATATATTGAATAATAAGTCAAAGTTGCCTCTACTGCCTAGCATCCTGACCTAAATTTATGGTATCCTGGCCATCATATTTAAGTGACTGCACAGGTGGTATGCAGTTTGAAGTCTCTGTCACAAAATTCTTTACTGTATTTTGAGCTTTCTTTGATGTGGCGTGTGTACTGTACTTTTCCTACTTTATATGTGATAAAATATGATAGGTAAATATGTACTTCCTAAATATAATGGAAGAGTTAGGATAAATTGCACAGTCTCACTATAAAAAAAATTGGATATAGAAAGGAGGGGGGAAAAAGATTATCCCCAAGCTCAGAAACAATACCTTGTAGTTTTTCTGTTATTGATGATTAGACTAAAGCTATTTTGTATATCATTTTATTCAGAGGACTAGTTAGTATCTTCGATATCTTAGTATTGTTACAGGGCAGGGATAGTGGTACCCCAGAGCCCCAAACGTGCCCGTTTTAAGTAGTTTCTGCCATCTACTGCCTAAAGACAAAACATACTCTAGTGTGTATGAACTTTGGTGGGAAGGAACTTTAGTACAATTATGCAATACAGAAAGGGGTGAGAATATCGTTTCCAAATGAAGCACCCTAAGTTACCCATCCCCTTGTGGGTAAATGCCCAGCCAAACAGCTTTGGCCCAAAGTAGGATTACTGAGGCCCAAACACCTGTCACAAGTCTAACACACCTTCGGGTGGGGACCTATAAGAAAAGGGTAGAAGAGGCGCTGCACTTCTGATACAGAAGGAGCAAAATCAAGATAAATGTTGTCATTGATAACCTCCCCACGGGGGTCTCACCCACATCTGTTTAAACCAGTCCAGGGCCAGGAAGCAAAGACAGTTTCTTCACATGTCTGTCTGCTCCATGGGCCTTTTTCAGGTCCTTCTTCCTTCCTCTTCAATATCTCCAGCTTCTTCTCCCTGCTCAGCTCCACCATACCTTGGGCGGGGCCAGGAACCTGGACCCTCTGCTTTTTCTGGGGACCAGCATGTTACAGTATTGGTGGGTTGTAGAAAGTCATGACACATTTTTTTCTATTTTTCAAAGAAAAAAAATGTGTCATGACTTCTGACAACCCAGTATTTTAAGATCAGTTGTTACAATATTAAAGTATTTATAAGTTTTTCATTTTAGTTACTTTATAAAATGATTCTTTTATAAATGATTCTTCACATTTCCCCATTTTTCAGAATAAAACTATGTTGTTCAGCTTTGCTAACTGTAAATGAGAGTCCTTTTAATGTAGTAGGGCTTGTTGACTTCTTTAGATTGGAGAGGGGTAACTAGTGGCACCTGAAATGATTCTGCTTTATGAATTAAATTTTTTTCATAAGTTGGTTTAATTGAGGTGGTATAGAATTTGTGGTAAAACAGACTGAAGAACAGACTGGCAGGAATCTGGGCTGGGTTTACTCTGACTTCACAGCTAAGGGGGACATGATTGAGAAACTAAATTGCAGATGAACTACGGAGTGATTTTTTTTTTTATTTACACTAAGTTTATTCTTAAATATACAACCACCTCCAAGAAACACTCATACAATAACATGTTATAGCAGAAACTCCAGGTATTTAAACAGGAATGGAATTAAGGATCACCAAGGCCTTAGACACAAGGAGCAACTTAACTCTTTGCCAGATTATTAAATCCACCTGTAGCCAGGGAAGTGTTCCATACAGCCTTCAGTTTTAACTTCTTCAATTTCTGCTCTTCTTTTTGTTTCTGTTTGAAATCCTCATCTTCCTTGTCCATTTCCTGCCTGCTTCTTGGGACTGATTCAGGCTTATCTTGCCAGTGCTCCTTCCCTGGACCTTGCCACCAGAAGCAGTGAAATAACTATTTTTGAAGCAAGTGAGATATTATATAAAAATTTTAAACAAATTTGGAGAATTTTTGCAAGATGAGATTGAGTTTCAAGACATCTGTAAAAAGAAAAATAGGAGACCAAAAAGAATATTGCATAAAAGATGAATTGTGAGTGTAGAACTACTTCTTTTATTGTAGGTTCCACAATGGTTGGTCCCTGATTTTCATAAAAATTGTCACAATTGTGATGATTTTATGGACTGTCTGTGAAATTACTTGTTTACAGGAAACCTATATTGAAATTGGTTTGCTAAACAAAAATTTAAACCACATCCTAATTTTCCCAATAGACACACACTTAGATATTACGGCTTTTTTTTCCCCCAGTAATTTTCAGTGTAGGAAAAGATGCTTGATTTTGTGTGTGTATGTGTGTGTGTGTGTGTGTGTGTGTGTGTTTATTTAATGAATGCCATGTTTTCTCTTTGCACTTATCTCCAATTCCTAATATTTTAACTTTGGTTGTTCTGGAGGTTTTTTATAGACAAATAAAGGATTTTTTTTTTTTTTTTAAAGATTCATCTATCTATGCATATAAGAACTGGAGCATAGGCCAAAGGCGTGGGGGGTGAGAGAACTCACCAGACCCAGAGTGGGGAAGAGACCAGGCAGATTGATGAAGTACACTGCTGAGGGGGGGCAGCGGGCGAGCCAGGAGAGGTCTGCTGCACCATGTGGGTTGTTTCCTGGCCAGCTGGGGGGATCGAACGTGTGCTTGCAGGGGCTGCGGACAGCTTCATAGGTTGCATCCCAACCCCCTGCACCACCAGGGAGGCCCCTGAAGGATTTATTTTAAATAAGATAAGGGTTAGGTTTTCTATTTATACTGTTGTTGTTGTTTTTTTAATTTTTTTTTTAATAGAGGCATGTTTTATTTATTTATTTATTTGTTTGTTTGTTTATACAAGCACTGGGTACAGTCAGAAGCGCGGGAGGGTGAGAGAATTCACCAGAGCCAGAGCGGGGAGCAGAGCAGGCAGAAGGACCGAAGTACACTGCTGAGGGGAGCAGCGGGCGGCAGGAGAGGTCTGCGCGCCATGTGGGACCCTCCTCTGGTGGCCGGGGAGCAGCCGGGGATCGAACCGGCGCCGCAGAGGCCGCGGGCAGCTTCGCAACCCAGTGCTCAACCGCTGCACCACCGGGGAAGCCCTATTTATACTGTGTTTTATTGAGATTTTGAATTAGAAGCACTTTATCTTAATATCTAAGCCATTTTCCCCCTTTTTGCTTGTTTGTATCTATGACAGATTATAAATACCTTGAGGACTAGAGCCTTGTCTTATTTACCAGGGTATCTTTATTATCATAAACAGTTCCTGCTATGTAGTTGGATGCTTAATTAATGGAAAGACATACAGTAAATTGAAAAAATACTTATCTCTGACTACTGGGGTTATGTTGACGTGGGGGGAGGGGCCCACACCCCTGGCACCACTACCTGTTGTTGATTTTTAAAGGTTTTCATTTTGAAAATGGTGAAATTAACCCTTGGAAGAAGGGAGAATACAGAGCAGAGACACTCTGTTCTGACTTGGATCTTTTGCCTTGTTTCCAAGACTTCAAGGGCTTTGACAAGGACAAATCCAAGGACTTAGGTACTGGTTTTCAAAGAAAAAGGGTACTGTGAATGGAAAGACTTAGTTATGACATTCATAGTCTGAGGCAGCACTGAACACTTAGGGAATAAGAAAGAAGAATAATGCTATTCCCCCTGTTTTGAGGGAAAAGGAGATCGAGAAATATTGATAAAGGAAAAATGCAAATGTTAAGGTTACCAGTCACTAGAACTTCATTATTTTGCTGCTGTTTTCATAAATGATATGAACATTTTTTATTCTTGTTTGTATGGCTAAAAGAATTTATTTATGAAAGTTTTCCAGAGATGATTTTAATAGTTACTATTCTTCTGTTTGCTCCCTTAGCATTTGACATTGTGCAGCAAAGAAATGGTTATGGAGAAGCCCAGTCCGCTGCTTGTAGGGCGGGAGTTTGTGAGGCAATATTATACTTTACTGAATAAAGCTCCAGAATATTTACACAGGTAAATTTTAAATATGTCTAGTGTTTTTATTTTGTTTCATTTTTTGAATATGACTACATGTTTTGCCTTATCTCCTCATGTTATGACATTATCTTTGTAAACATCACTAAGCCAATATTTTAACCAGTATTTATTAATAACTGAAGCCAGTGTTTTTCATGTTTTTTGATTAAAATTTGTAGTAAGAAAAATGTTTCACCTCATATGCCATGAATAGCAGCAGGTAACGCATTTGCAACTGTATACACACACACACAGGTATACTGCACAGTTATGTGCTCTGCATTTTATTTCATTAAGAATAGTAACGTTAGCCTTGATCAAATAATGGGTTCCAATCTGTGTTTGAAATCACTGGTAAATCATCTTTTCACCCTCTCTAAAGCAATATGAAAATCTTTTCTAATTGATATGCTAAATAGTATCCCTTGGTAAAACTGCATGCAGCCTTGTTTACTATTGGCAAAAGGTGGGCCTCTGTAAGCTTTTTTTTTTTTTTTTTTTTAACAAAGCTTGAAATTGATTTATATTGTGAGTAGTATTCATTAGTTTTTTTTAATGTGTGTATTTTAGTAGGTAGAAGATTAAGTCTTTGCAAGTATTTGAGCCCTCTCACTTGAGTTAAGGATGAATAAGTCATTGCCAGTTAATGTGTGAAAGGCTGTTAAAAAGACATAACATACTCTTTTATCTGTCGGTCTACATTATAAGCATGCAGTATACTATACATTGTTACATGTTTGTAGTATTCTCTTATTCCAGTAGACAATTAATATATAAATAACACCCCCTCCACACGCAAAAAAAATCCCCCAAATGAATAGCTATACATTTTTTAATTATAAAAATAAAGACACTTTTTTTGACTGTGTCTATGAGGGATTTTGAGGAGACAAGACACTAATAGGGCCTTTCATTTTCTGAAATTTAGTCTTTTCACATTGTACTTATAGCATATTTAACATTTTTTAAATAGGAAACTTTTGTAATGACACAAAGTAAAATTTTAAAAGTCTCTCCACTGTCATTTAAATAACACAAACTTCTGTTTTATACTTAGCATGTGTAACCAGTTTTTCTATTAAAGAAAATTTAGTTTGTAATTTTTCACTTGTTAAGACTGTCATTTACAACCCTACACATTCATATATGTGTACCTTTCTATAGTTATTTTCTTGGAGTAAGTTCCTAGAAATAAATTTCTAAAGCTTTTCTTACACGGGTTTCCTGCCTAGTTGGCCTCTTGAAAAATGTTAGCAGTCTAATATGCTCACTAGTAGTACATGAGAGAAAATAGTGTAAACTTAAAAATATGGGTAGTGGTTAAAAAACATGGACTTTGGAGCCAGCCTGTCTGGGTTCACGTCTTAGCCGTCAACTCAGGGTTGGGTTGTTAAATCTTTTGAACTTCACTTGCTGCCTTAAATTATAGTGCTTAAAATCATGAGGTTGTTAGAAGAGTTAAATGCATCCGTATATGTAACATACTAAGAACATTGCTTGACACAGAAAACGTCTTAATATTATGATAACAGAATATGAAAAAATCAACTTTTCGTGTTTGAGAACTTTAAATTAGAAAGATGATTGATTCTGATGCTTTCGGTAATACCAAAAAAACACAAATTTATTCTGTACTTAAAGAGCAGTGTAAACATTAATGAGAAATTAGATGCTGAGGTAATAGATGTTTGACTTGGTCTCTGAATTATTTCACTTACTTTAAATCTGTTTAAGTCTTTTGAAATGGTAATTATTTGGAAGTCTGAGTAGAATGTTAAATTGTTTCTGATTCTCAAATAAAACTAGATAACTGATTTTTTTTTTTTTTGTATCTGAAAGGGAAAAAGGGTCAGTTACTACAGCATCAGTATTTATGAAGTATTTGACATTTTTTTCATTTAATAAAAAATATGTAAAAAGAATTAGATGAGGGCCTCCCTGGTGGCGCAGCGGTTGAGCGCTGGGTTGCGAAGCTGCCCGCAGCCTCTGCAGCGCCGGTTCGATCCCCAGCTGCTCCTCGGCCACCAGAGGAGGGTCCCATATGGCGTGCAGACCTCTTCTGCCGCCCGCTGCTCCTCTCAGCAGTGTACTTTGGTCCTTCTGCCTGCTCTGCTCCCCGCTCTGGCTCTGGTGAATTCTCTCACCCTCCCGCGCCTCTGACTGTACCCACTGCTTATATAAATAAATAAATAAATAAATAAATAAATCTTTAAAATAAATAAATAAATAAAAGTTACTCTATATTTAAAAAAAAAAAAAGAATTAGATGAGAATAGTGACTGAAAACATATTAAGTGTGCTGGGCACAGTAATAATTTTATGTTGTCAGTCATCTAATCCATCTAATAATTCTGTGGAGTAGTTATTGTTCTATTTTATAACCAAGGAAACAAGTAACTTGTGCACGTTCATAGAACTAATTAGTGACAAAGCGGGACCTGGAAACTAGGTCTATTTGACACCACACCACTGTTAAATTTCTCTTGACAATTAAATGTTAATCATTACCATTGGTTTTACAGGTTTTATGGCAGGAATTCTTCTTATGTTCATGGTGGAGTAGATGCTAGTGGAAAGCCCCAGGAGGCTGTTTATGGCCAAAATGTAAGTTTCATATATTTTTAAGATTGTTGTATGTTATGATAGTGGTTTGAAAAATGGCCTTCATGTGCCTGTGGGTTTCATCTTGAATGTGATTTTTCATTATTACTAGCAATTTTGTTTCAGTAGTTGTCAAATGTACTTTGGGTTCTATAAACATTGATAGGGTATGAAACATGGTGTTACATTGGGGTGGAATAAAGAAAAAGTGGGATTTTTACATGTTTGTATTTTATTTAAGATTTATTTATGTGTATAAGAACTGGGGTGAAAGCCAGAGGTGTGGGGTAGGGGGAGGGTGAGAGGATTCACCAGAGAGAGTAGGGAGCAGAAAAGGCAGATCAACTGAAATACACTGCTAAGGGGAGCAGTGGGCGAGGCAGGAGAGGTCTGCTGCGCCCTGTGGGTTGCTCCCTGGCCCCATGTGGGTTGCTCAGTCAGGGATCGAACTCATGCTGCAGTGGCTGGCTATAAGTTAAAAGCACTGTCTTTAACCCCTACACCACCAGGAAGGCCCTGAATATTTGTATTTTTTTTTTTTAAATTCAACTTTGAGGCCCTCTTTTTTTAAGATTTATTTATTTATACAAGAACTGGGGTACAAGTCAGAGGGGCAGGAGGGTGAGAGAATTCACCAGAAAGAGTGGGAAGCAGAACAGGCAGACAGACCAAAGACAGTGCTAAGGTGAGCACCGGGCGATGCAGGAGAGGTCTGGCTGACCGGGAATCAAACCTGAGCTGCAGAGGCTGTGGACAGCTTCACAGCACAGCGCTCAACCCACTGCGCCACCGGGGAGGCCCATGTTTGTATTTTAATACCTAAAACAGTTTAGTCAGACCATTAAGTTTATACAAAGCCACTTTTTGTTTCCGGAATATACAGAAGTATATGCTCTTTAGTAATTTGTAGAGGATGTAGAACTTCAGCTACTCTCTGAATTACAGAACTTGACTTTACCAAACTAGAGAAAATTGAAAGTAAAAGAAATGGCATTAGCAAAATCTATAAAGAAAATTAGGCTTAATGCAAAATAGTGGGCAAAAGCTATATCAAATCCCAGATTACCACATAATATAAGCTATCCATTATGATTTCTTGTATAAAGGGATGACATCTTGATAATAGTGTGGTGGTTTAGGGACATTAGTTAGGCAGTAGTATGGTAGAATGGATTCAAATGAGGCAGAAAGAATTAAATAGTTCATATTCTAAAGTGGTAAGGACATCAGTGAGGGTTTATTGTATAGGTAATGCAGTATCATTAAAGTTTGTATTTCCTCCTTCTTCATCTTCTAATGAAGGATATACACCACAAAGTATTATCTCTGAACTTCAGTGAATGTCATACTAAAATTCGTCATGTGGATGCTCATGCAACCTTGAGTGATGGAGTTGTTGTCCAGGTCATGGGTTTGCTGTCTAACAGTGGGCAGCCAGAGAGGAAGTTTATGCAAACCTTTGTTCTGGCTCCTGAAGTAAGTGTTGTTTCATTTGCATGACTTTACTTGCCAGTTATTAGCTGGTGGAAGTATCCTAACGTAATAGGGTGGTCCCCAGGAAAGAGGGAGGTTCCAGGTTTCCTGACCCACCCAAGAGAGGGTGGAGCAGGGTCTGGAGTGCCCCTCTCCCTGCTCTGTAACAGTAAGAGTTCCTTACATGTTTACGCATGTAGCTATTTCTGAGAAATTTGTATTGGACCTATATTGTATTTTGATGGTATAGTTTATTTGAGCTTTGGGTGTGTATGTGCATGTTTTTATTATTTAGTACTGGTATAAGTATGTAAATAGATGATTAAGATTATAGATATACAAGAAATAAAACAATAATAATAATGCTGTACTTGATAATCTTCATATTACTCAAATGGGAAAATTCTATTTATTTTATCCTGTTTCTTTTCTATTGAATAGCCATTTCTTGAGTTCCAGTGTTCTTTGAATGACTTTTTTGTAGCTTATTTTATATTAATGTAATAGTATTTTCAGCTTTGGAAAATTATATCAAGTCTACTTCTATAATATTAAAATTGATATTTTATGTGCCATGTAATTCTCTTTTTTTTTTTTAAGTGTGTATGAATATTTATGTGATATTTGTATGTTGTTTTCCTATAGGGATCTGTTCCTAATAAGTTTTATGTTCATAATGATATGTTTCGTTATGAAGATGAAGTATTTGGTGATTCTGAACCAGAACTTGATGAAGGTGAGGTTGCTTTAAAGATAGAACAGTTCGTGTTATACATAAAAAGTATGAAACTCAACAGATATTTGTCTGTGTCTTTTATAACTGCATTAAACTCCCTTTCTCTTTTCTTCCTTTGGGTTTTTTTTTTTTTTTTTTTTTTTTTTTTTTTAAGATTTATTTATACGTGCAAGAACTGGGGTACAGGCCAGAGATGCGGGGGGTGGAGTGGTGAGAGGAATCACCAGAGACAGTGAGGAACAGAACAGGCAGACTGACTGAAACACACTGCTGAGGGGAGCAGTAGGCGAGACAAGAGAAGCCTGCTGTGCCATGTGGGTAGCTCTCAGGCTGGGAAGGGATTGAACTCATGCTGCAGAGGCTGTGGATAGCTTCACAGTGCTGTGCTTTCGCACCACCAGGGAGGCCCCTTTCTTCCTTTGTTTTAAAACTTACTCATTATGAAATCATGTAAAAATCAGACAAAGTGAAAAAGTTCTCCTCAACCCCAGTCTCTATAGCTAATCAAAACTTACCCCTTCCCCATTTTTTGCTCTTCTCACCTGTAAGCTTGTTAGCTGTCAATTTTTGGCTATACTGTAATTTTTAATTGATCTTCCATTGCACTACATCATTTTGTTCCCTATATCGTAATTGCTCTTTTTAATGGTTTTTGACGAAGGAAGCTGAGTTAATGACATTAATATCATGTATTTCCTACCATTTCTATTTCTTAGCAGATTTTTTTTTTTAATGGAGTACAGCAAATACCAAACTTCACGTTACTTTTACTCTTCAGTTTTTTGAGAGAACAGGGAATTATGCAGTTGATTGCTTTTGTAAGAAATTTGCTAATTTTTTACTGTCGTCGCTTCTTTAAACATATTAAAAATATGCATATCAGAAACTGTTAAGCCTCTTAAAAATAGATGTGATGTGCTGTATTATCTGTTGTTAGAATCAGAAGATGAAGTAGAAGAGGAACAAGAAGAAAGGCAACCATCTCCAGAACCTGTGCAAGAAAACACCAACAGTGGTTACTATGAAGCTCATCCTGTGACGTAAGAATACTGTTTGTAATGTATTTGGTCTGAACTATAATGTACTTAAAAGGTGGTTTTTGTTCTAGAATTACTGTTGGAAATGAATTTTTTTAATAAAGCCACCAATCAGACCAGTTTTGAGTACTTATTACATACATGAAGAATTACTTTATTTAACTCAAAAAATGAACATGGTTTGACCTAAAGCTGATCGTTGACTGATAATGTAGTGTTTCAGACATTACAGAAAGTGAGCATTTTATTTTTGTAAATGTGGGATTTATTTATGGTTAGCATTAAAGTATTCTTAATAATTTTGAGATCTTGTTTTTAAATAATGGATTTAAAGAAATGCTGCTTGAGAGTATTATTCCCTTCTGCCTTCCAGTTAACTTTTGCTTCAAAACAGCTTATAGATAGAGAACAGGTTATTACTAGTTGTGCCCATTAGGTTAGGAAGTAATTGAATTTTATTGAACTTGATCATTTCACTCACTGAATAATGAACAAAAAATATTTTATTATAGTAATGGCATAGAGGAACCTTTGGAAGAATCCTCTCATGAGCCTGAACCTGAGCCAGAATCTGAAGCAAAGACTGAAGAGCTGAAGCCCCAAGTGGAGGAGAAGAATTTAGAAGAATTAGAGGAGAAATCTACTTCTCCTCCTCCTGCTGAACCTGTTTCTCTGCCACAAGAACCACCAAAGGTTAGATCAAAAGAACTTTTTAGACTGTAACATCACACTTTCATATTTGGTACTGTTAATGAAGCATGACCTTTGTTCTATTACGTTAAATTATTTGCTATAGTAAACTATATTCTTATGTATATGAAAGTTGTGGGGGTTTTATAATCCTGAGGAAATTCCATTGTTCCCCATCCCCGAAGAAAATACCCTTAAATGAAATTTAAAATGCATCCTTGTCTGTATGCAGTATTAGTTATCTTACTTGAAATTATTCAAGTCCATATATAAAGCCGAGAGTTGCTCTTCCATTGTGTATTAAGTTCTTTACGCACTGATGCAACAGGATTCATATAATCTCCCAATTCAAACAAGCTGGCCTTTTATTATTTACAGATATTTCTGGTTTAAATGGGAACATTTCCTTTCTACACCAATTAAACTATCTTGGAAAGATGAGTAACACCCAGAGATCTTTTAAGCCTACCTAAGACATCTTTTATCTTTCTGTAAAGTAGGTTAAAATAAAATATATTTGGGTAGTGAGAGGAACAGATTCCTTGTTCAATTAGTGATGTCTTTTAATGGTTCCAGTTAGTGCTCTTTTCTTTCCTTTCATCCCCTTCTCCCCTTAACACTATTACACACCCTATCTTCTCCCAAAAGAAATTGGTTCTATTAGGTTCAGATTTTTCTAGTTTGTGTAGTTGTTAGTGGTTTTGTTGCCACTTCCTGTTCTATATAGAGCTTGTAGGAACTTGCTTGTGGTTTTATTTAGTTCAGACAAAATGGTGATAAATAATGTTGCATAATGAGATTTTGAAATCTGGCACATAGACTGGCATGTGTGTGTGTGCCTTTCTTTTAGGAATCCTTCAATATAGAGCAATAGCTTAGAAATGAAAACAAAATAAATATTTGGAAGTTTCCCTATAGGAATGTTGGTGGTTTTCCATGATTAGTAGTCTAGGTTTGTTGCATTTCCTGCAGGCTTTCTCCTGGGCTTCAGTGACCAGTAAAAACCTGCCTCCTAGTGGTACTGTTTCTTCCTCTGGAATTCCACCCCATGTTAAAGCACCAGTCTCACAGGTAACCAATCTGTGAACACATTGGATTGTATCCTTGTTACATTGCCAAATGCTTATCTTTTTCATACTTTTTAAAATGAGTCAATCATAAATTATGCATTAAATTTACAAAAAATTTGTATTAAATGTCAATGCACCCACATTAAATGCCAAATCACCATTCATCATCTACATCGGTGGTATTTGGGGTTTGGGTGTGTGAAATGCAGATTAAGTTGGTTTTACCAATATACATATATACATAGTCATTTTAAAAGGCTTCTGAAAACAACAAAAACGTTCCTTTTTAAAAAATTTTAAATATTTTAGGGAAGAAATTTGGAAAGACACAAAGTCGTGTGGAATTATAAGGAGTCATTGTTTTTTAAAAAAGGAAAGTTTTAAAACAACTCTAATCTCTCAGTCTGTAAGTGTTTCACACAGTTTGATCGAAGCCTGTACCAACTTACGACTGTAGTGTTCACCTTAACTGATCATTCCAGTATTCTGCTTTTTGTCTGTTTCTCATCTACCATTTCAGAGCTTTTCAAAAACATTGATAAGAAGACATTGCTACCTAACATGTTTATAGGTATTGGTTAAAATAATTAAATTCCACTTAAGCTTATAGGCATAAAGAGTGGTCAAGTCTTTTTCATAGACTTTGAGTCAGATTTCATTCCACTAGAAAATTTACATTTAAAGTGGTTAGTGCACATAAATTTGTTTATATACACCTTTTATATACTCTAAGCAGTGAAACTTCTGTTCCAAAAATAGTAATTACAATCTTTTTGGTGTTGGTATATATAATCAGCTACACAGTAATAGAATACCTGTTGTTGTTTAGGAAATGTTGAGTAATTACCTAAGATCGCAAACAGATTCTTATCTTAAAAATTAATTTGCCCGGTATTGCTTATACCTTTCAGTTCATCTAAAGACCTGATATGTGACTTCTGGCTTTTCTTTTGAAATGTTTGGTTTCTTAACATATTTGCATTCGGAGTCCCTTGGATTATTACTTTATCTCAGAGAGTTGAGTACATTTATTTTTAAATATACTGCTTTAAAAGCTAAAATAGATGATTTTTATTATGCTTTTAATATGCATCATGTAGTTGTGCAAAAAGCACTTTATATTCATTCTTTCTTAATTTACAACCACCATGTGAGAGTTGGTTTCATAATTACGTTTAAAAACAGGAAGATTGAGGCCTAGAGTACCTCATGCAAGGTCAGACAGCGATATCAATAGAAGGGCAGGTAAGCCTATAGACTAATTTAGTCCCTTGGAGGATTTGTATCTCTTCACATCAAGGAGGAGTACTATATTAAAGCATGACTAAATTACACTAGAGATCTACCCTTTTGCCGGGGTGGGGTGGGGGAGGAGTTTAAGTTTTGAAGTTACTTTTTTAGATTGTAGACCATATTGTATTTTCCAACCCACCCCTTAAACAAATTTTAAGTATAATTTAGACTTTAAAAGATGTTTTTCTCATCTTTATATTTAGAATGAATTTATGATTTTTCCACTTGATTTAATAAACCGCTCAATTTTTATTTTGTAACTTGATGCAGTATCTTCCCATAATACTTTTAGTATAGATAATTGATTTAAAATTTACATCTAATTCTTAGGTTATTGATAGGCATTCATTTAGGTGTAGGAAAGTTTAGTTCTCGGTAAAAACACTTGTCTGGAAATTGGCTAGTTCATCCAAACAGCCTATATTCAGTTGAAGAACTTGTTTATTAGATTCGTGGTTATTTGTGCTGTTATTTTATGGTTCCATTTTGTTTCATATTTATTCTACCTTCATTTGTGGGATTTTTCATGTAGCACACTTTCTGGTGGCATGGAATTAGTGTAAGGTCCTAAAGTAGTATAACGTTGCATGGAGTTAGTTTTAGGTCCTAAAATAGGATGTGGTATGTTAGCCATTTTGTTTGTTTGGAATAAATATTTTCAGTCATGAAATTGAGCCTGAAGATTTGTAAGGGTGCGGCTGGCTTTGTTGACATACATTAATTGGTTATTGAAAGGAATATTAGATTTTTGGTCTCATTTTTCTTGCATCGACTATCAAATATCTAGTAAAAGTCTGGTGTCTTAATCATATTGAATGGATTATTTAACTTGTTAGAAAATTATTTGAATTTGTTTTTAATTTTAAATCCTTAATGGATAATTAAGAACTTTTTATTCTACAACTTACAGTTACTTTTGTTTTGGTGTTTTGAAAAGAATTTAAATCAGTTAGCCAGGGTGCCTCAAGTTCTTTGATTAATAGTTGAATAGACGAAGTCTAAAATTCTCGTGCAATTTTTAAAATGAAATGTTTATCTGCTGTTTATATTAATTTTCTAAATTAGCTTTATCAGGCCTGAACACAGTATATCTTTTCTTTAACTTTTATATTCATGCTGCTTTACATTCATGCTGAAGTAAGTAGTGCTTTTTAGACCCCCTTAGTTGAAATTTATAAATAACTGACTTTTCAGACATCACATTTTGTTTCAAATTATTATATAATGTTAACTCCAAATACAAATAGCAATGGTCTCACAACTATAATAAAGTCCCCACTTGTCAGCATTGAGCATTCCCCTCCTACATGGTTTTGTTTAGAGAACTAAAAATTAAGTTATTTTAAATGAACCAAACTGAACATCTGTGTCTAATGATACTGTGCTTTGTTAGTAGGGTGGAGATATGGTCCATTATATGAAATAAATACATATAAATAATTGAAACAACTGGAGAAAATTAATTTTATATTTCAACTAGCAAAATTCTAGAACATGGGAAGCTATATTGTCTTGAGGGAAATGGGACACGTACATGCAGGAAAACAACTCGGAAAGAGATAAGCAAATCCATTAAAAACTGCTAGTATAGGAATTAATATACCTTTTGGTTTCAGTGTGTAAAATAATTTGCAATAAGTTATCATTATAAAGAAACTTAAGTCTTTATATAAAAAGTTGTTCTTGCAAATTGTATTATCCCATAAATAAATGATAAAAGATTGAGCCACTGCCTGAACAGAGAAGTCCTTAGAAGTGATCAACCATAAAGACAAACCTGAAATTACTTTCTGACTTGTTTTTTATATCCTGCTGTTGCCAACATCCTTTAAAGACAGAAATGTTTTGTTTCTTCTTTGGGCCATAAGTATTGGTCAGTAGACAGCCTGAAAAGTTGGGGATACTGAACAGGACATTTTGTGTTAAAATATTTATTTTAATTGTATTTGTTTAATTCAGCAGTTAGAAACATTTTAAGGTATTCTATGACATTTTAAGCAGCTATACACCTCTCTCAGGCACAGTTAAGGAAAATAGTTGGGGTCAGTCCTTCAATAAATGCACACCTTATGGAAGAACAATACAGAACCAGAGGACTTCCTTTACTATTTTAGATATGCATGTTCCTCTCTTTATGTGCATTTTAACTTAAAGGTAGTATTTTTAGACTCTAGAGTAAGCTAAATTGCATATTTTGAACTTTCAGAATACTGATTTTCAATATTTATGGGTTCAGGTTTAGAAGCTATTGCATTCGAAGGGTAGCAAACTGGATAATATATTCTTACCTATCTAATATTTCTTTACCTATCTAAGATAAAGATGGCTTTTTATTTTGTGTATGCATTTACATGGAGTGGCTCATCCTGCATTTTTGTGACTTTTGTAGCAGTACCTTTTATGCTGTCTTAGTGTGGATGTAAATTAGTGGGGAAAAATGTAATTTTAAAAAGCAGCTTATTGTGAGTTATATAACTGAATGGAAAGACAAAACTACCCTACAGTCCTAGATTGGTACAGAATATCTTTATAAAAATAAATTTCACATACATAGGACACTATGTTAAAAACATGCAAAGCTTTAAAAATACTGTTATGCTTGCTGGTGTCTTGTTGTAGTTGCTTTAGTTAATATTTCTCCTTTGGAATGTATTTTCTTTTTAACGTGTTTTTTTTTTCCCTTGTGTTTTAGCCGAGAGTTGAAGCTAAGCCAGAAGTTCAATCTCAGCCACCTCGTGTGCGTGAACAGCGACCTAGGGAACGACCTGGTTTTCCTCCTAGAGGACCAAGACCAGGTAAGTCAGCCCCATCTATAACTTCTATCGTTTAGCTCTTGAAAAGTTGGGAGATGGAACTTTAAAATACTGTAATGTATTTTATACGCAAATCCTTTTAGTAAAATATAGTCTTGGGGTAAGACAATTTTTAGGGGAGGACTCATTGACATGTCGTAGAGACTCGTATTTGGAAAATGTAGAAGAATTTGGAGACAAATTTTATTTTGTTTTTTGTCATTGGTTGTAAGAATTCAAACCCAAGCTGCCAATGACCTACTCTTTTACTTACCACTCTTAATCTCTTCACAGATAAGTAATAAGCACACCCTGATTCTTCTTATTTTGATTGTCTTCAGTATTAAGTTGCCATGATTTTTGACTTGTTTCCATTGTTAGCTAATATATGTACTGCCTCTGAATTCCATAGACATGTTTAAATTGCTTTTGGAGGAAATGGGAGACATACTTTGCATCAAATTTAGAAAGTGGCATTTTTTTCCACCAAAGTAAATATAAGTGATGTGGTACTAAACAAAGAAGTGGGGCCTCCCCGGTGGCACAGCGGTTGAGCGCTGGGTTGCAAAGCTGCCTGCAGCCTCTGCAGCGCTGGTTCGATCCCTGGCTGCTCCCCAGCCACCAGAGGAGGATCCCACATGGCACGCAGACCTCTCCTGCTGCCCGCTGCTCCCCTCAGCAGTGTACTTCGGTCCTTCTGCCTGTTCTGCTCCCTGCTCTGGCTCTGGTGAATCCTCTCACCTTCCCGCGCTTCTGACTGTACCCAGTGCTTGAATGTATGTATGTATGTATAAATCAATTAAATAAATAAATAAAGAAGTAATAGGAGCTAGAGATTTTGTCTTAGCTTTGCCACTGATTGAGTTTATGGTCTTGGATCATAAATTATGAGATTGTTCCTTTTTTTTTTTAATTTTTTTTTAATTAAAGATTTATTCATGCATGTAAGAACCGGGGTACAGGCCAGATGTGTGGGAGGGTGAGAGGATTTATCAGAGACAGAGCGGGGAACAGAACAGGCAGACTGAATGACATACATTGCTGAGGGGAGCAGCTGCGCCATGTGAGTATCTCCCTGGCTGGCCAGGATCAAACCCGCGCTGCCGAGGCTGTGGACAGCTTCACAGTGCTGCACTCAACCGCCTGCACCACCAGGGAGGCCCTATGAGATTGTCTTAATGTCATTCAATCGTTAAATGATTTTTTTAATGCAGTATCTTCTTGTTTTCTTCAGTGTTGTCTATTGTGTTATTAGGAATATCAAACAAGATTTGTGTGTGTGCATGTGTTTACGTACACATACATTTATCTTTGAGAGCACCCTAACATATGTAAAATGCTGTGAAGTGAGATATTCCTACTATTAAATTTACTGATGTAGCTGTAATTTCATATAATTGAAGATTAAGTCATTTGTAAATTTTAAAATGCTAAACTATTATTTGCTACAAATATACCTCAGTATCTGAACCTTTTTTTTTTTTTTTTTAATAGAGGCATGCTTTATTTATTTTACTTGTTTGTTTGTTTGTTTGTACATGCACTGGGTACAGTCAGAAGCGCGGGAGGGTGAGAGAATTCACCAGAGCCAGAGCGGGGAGCAGAGCAGGCAGAAGGACCGAAGTACACTGCTGAGGGGAGCAGTGGGCGGCAGGAGAGGTCTGCGCGCCATGTGGGACCCTCCTCCGGTGGCTGGGGAGCAGCCGGGGATCGAACCGGCGCCGCAGAGGTCACGGGCAGCTTCGCAACCCAGCGCTCAACCGCTGCGCCACCGGGGAGGCCCAGTATCTGAACCATTTTGATGTGACTGTAAAAGTTTGGTTAAGGAGGAATATCTGTGTTAATATTTGACTTTCATGTAATCAGACCAGTAGATCTAAAAGAAAGGACTTAGTCCCTCACTTTATAGTGTAATACCATGTTGTTTTCTAACCTTACTAGCCACCTCTGTTTAGATGGTCACTATCTCACTAAATTAAAACAGGAATATTGATGTTGTGTGATTTCTTAAATTTGTTGCTTTGAACTAGTTTTTAAAGTTTATATTTGTAAACTTTTAGTATCTACTCTATTCCTTTTTCTCAGGCAGAGGAGATATTGAACAGAATGAATCTGACAACCGTAGAATAATTCGCTATCCAGACAGTCATCAACTTTTTGTTGGTAACTTGCCACATGATATTGATGAAAATGAACTGAAAGAGTTTTTCATGAGTAAGTGATGTTTTTCTGTATTTTAAAGTTAAGCAGAAGACTTGAGCTTTTTCCATAATTAATTTTCAAATAATACATACTGTAGCAATCACTTTAATTGATCAGAAGGGAGAAGACTATATTGTTGTTTCGTAGTGATTGTACTTAGTGTTGATTGAACTGGTTAGTAGGTTAGGAGAAAGTGCTGGAGGATTCAGCCTTAAATTTCAATATGAAACTCACTTGGCAAATGAAAATAAAAAATAAAAAAATAGTGTTTTTTTAATAAAACTTCAGGTGACATTTCAAAAACTGATAAGATGCAGAAGGGTAACCAAACAAGCAGTCATACCTGTTGTTAGCATCTTAGGTAAACCAACTATATCAGTGAATATGCCATAGTTGTTACTCAGTATAGCAACTTGCAACTTTTACAGCAATAAAGTTGGTAATCCATTGCCTTCTATACCTACTAAAGCCAAGATGGAAAAGCCAATTTGGTTATAAGTGTCATAAAGATAAGGAGGTTAAGGTAAATTCATCCTGAACAATTAAAGTCTTCAAAGTATTCTGTTAAGATAACTTGGTGCAATGTTTACTTTCACAGGTTTTGGAAATGTTGTAGAACTTCGCATCAATACCAAGGGTGTTGGGGGAAAGCTTCCAAATTTTGGTTTTGTGGTTTTCGATGACTCTGAACCAGTTCAGAGAATCTTAATTGCAAAAGTAAGTGACTTAAAGGGCATAAAATTCAAGCTTTAATTAATTATTTCTGTTGTGTATGATATTAATTTTGTGCTTTTTATTTTTTTTTTTTTTTAATTTTGTGCTTTTTAAAACCATAGAAAATATTTTGTTAATTTTAAACTTGAAAATAGTTCATTATTAAATGGTCATTTATGCAGAGAATAAAGATATGTTAGCAATGTAAGTCTGAGACTTGAGAAAAAGACGATTGGGATAGAGATTGCATTTTAAGAATTTTGTGAAAGTTTCCTCTTAGGAGTTTCTAATGTATGCAAGGGAATACATTACTATTGCTGTCTAACCTGCCCCTAAAAATCTTTTTCTCCCCTAAAGCCAATTATGTTTCGAGGGGAAGTACGTTTAAATGTGGAAGAGAAAAAAACAAGAGCTGCAAGAGAGCGAGAAACCAGAGGTGGTGGTGATGATCGCAGGGATATCCGGCGCAATGATCGAGGTCCTGGTGGTCCACGTGGAATAGTGGGTGGTGGAATGATGCGTGACCGAGATGGGAGAGGACCTCCTCCAAGAGGTGGCATGGCACAGAAACTTGGCTCTGGGAGAGGAACCGGGCAAATGGAAGGTCGCTTCACAGGACAGCGTCGCTGAAGCTCCACTGTTGGCAAAGTCTTAGCAGTGGTACATAATTCATCGTGTTTGCATTCTTGTTATTTTTTTTTTTTTTTTGGCTTTGGAATGTGACACAGCCTTTTTGATCATTTCTTTGATGTGAAAAGCATCTTTTGGTTATCAGTTAAATTGAGGTGGACATTATTTCCCCAATTTCACAACAGGATTCACATTAATTTATAAATCTAGACTTGGAGATTTGAGGACTGAGAAATGACCATATCTAAACTATCTACAACAAAATGAACTTAAAAGGACATGCCCAACTGAATTCAGGTCCTTTGAGTCAAAAAATCCTCTGCTGCACATTTTGTTTAAGTGTTACTGTTTCTGCCTATTAATGTTGGAAACACAATTAGTGCAATTTGTGCAATTGGAGAATCTTGCCTTTTTTCTTGGCTCCCCCCCAAATACAAACCAACAGAAACTTGTTATGCACTCATCAAAAATGCACTAATGGGTACTTTGAACTCATTAACATTGACATCTGCGACAGGAGGCAACAGGGGGAAAAAAATCATCTTTTTTCCAGTAGAGAATAGTTTGTGAAATGATGAGGGCATTTTATCTGCTTGCTGTGACCAGCGTATGTACACATAAACCTTAACAAGACTACAAGTATATTCCAGAAGGAAATCATTTAGTTGTGAACTAAGTAACAAAATCAGAACTTCAGATGCTATGGTCTTGACTATTAGACCAGATTTAGTAGCTCCATATCTAAGATTTTTCTACCTGCCCCTCTTCAGTACAGGGATGGCTGGCTGCTCAACACACTCCTCCTCCCCTTTTCCTTTCTTTAAGCTGTGTACAGTGAAAATTGTCTTTACTGTATTTTTGTTCTCTGGTAATGTAATAAGCATGATGGTGCCTTCTATTAATACATCATTCCAGTCTTGCTGGTAATTTTGTACAGTATAGTGTATGAATTGCTGTGCTGCAAAGCCAAACAGCTGCAAAATGTTGAAAATCATTGAAGTGTATAAAAATTGCAGTATCTTTAAAATCAGTAAAATTGACTAGCATATTATATATCTTGTTCAGTTAACAATTTTGTGTTCTCTGTGGGAGTGAGTCTTGTGTGTTGGGGAGGGAGAGGGAAGGAGGAAGTCAGTTACTAGAGTAAGTCTCTTGTTGACTTTTCTCTTAGCATAAATGTGAACGTTGAAGCATATCACTTGAGAGGTGCTTGGAAAAGTCAGTCAACTTAATGTACATTTTTAGTGACATTTTAAAAGCAGTCAGATTCCATAAACGGCAAGTAAACCTGAAGTGAGGATACTGCAATTTTCAGAGAAAAGAACAGCAGCTCTTAAGTGTTTGCATTTTCTATGGGGTTGGGGGGGCAGGGAACTATCATTCATTTTGCACAATTCTTGAACTGATGTCAGCACCCGAGTGGCTCTGAATTTAAGTCTGGGACGACATCTTTTATTTTTACATGAATCTCTAAACAATTCTGTGAGCAAAGTTTGTAGCTGCTGGATTATTGTCTGTCTGTATAGCAAGCTCCAGTAAACCACAACTATGGCAAAAGATAATCCAATTTTATGCTTGGAGCATTTCGTATTTACTGGTTTCTGATGTTTCAAGCTAGGAGGTAGGTAAATAAGTGTGACCACTTAAAGCTGCTTGTTAGCATGGAAGACTTCTCCATTCTATTGTAGTAAAAACAAATAAAAAATGCACTTGACATAGTAGCAAGCTGGTTCTTTATGAAACTGTTTGCTATTTAGTAAAGTAACAAATGATGCACATTTTGTTTTTTAATGTACCGGGCAATATAAGTAAAATTAAAATTTAATCTGTTCTTTTTTCCCCCCATGAATGAGGTCTTCCATGTTTGAGGAAAAGTCTTGCACTATTGCATATATTTGGGGGGCACAGATTTCTCCTAGTTTCCTTTTTTTGGGGGGGGGTTGTGGATTTTTCCTATTTGAAACAGTTTTACACTTTCTGATGTATAGTACTTGAAGTTCTTATCAGAAAATTACTTTTGCATTTTGAAGCCTTTTATTCAAATCACTTTTAAACAAGTGGTTTATTGTCAGTGTTTTTGTTTTGTTTCGGATTTTTAGCATATTTTCCTTCTAGTCTTACATTTCTTTCTCCCTCCCTTTTTATATATATATATAAAATTTCCAATGCAGGATATTGCCCTGTCACCCATGAGAACTGTTCTGGCACCAAAAGTAATGACAATGTTAAGTGTAATAGAAAATTAGAGCAAAGAGCCATTCAGCTTCAGTCTTTACATACCACAAATAAAACACGAGAACATCATGGAGAAGTTTACATGGTGATTGTTCACCTGCAGTACTGTGGACTTTTAACATTTTGTCCCCTTTTCAGTGAAACAGAGTAAAAATATTCATCTACCATTACTGTTATTTGCTGATTTTTTAATTTTTTTGATGGTAATATTCTATCCTTATGACACTTGCAACCAAATCGGCTTTACCATCTTGGCTTTAGTAGGTATAGAAGACAATGGATTACCATCTTTATTGCTGTAATGTGTTAAGCATTATATGCTAGTAGAACCTAGTTTAATTGTTTCAGGTGGAAAGTATTCTTTGAGTTTCCATTTTGAATGTGTTTGGACTAAACAAACAATAAACTACTGATGTCTGTCTGCAGCATTTATCTATGTCCCTAATTTAATGTGTAGGTTTGTTTCAAGATATTTTCTCCTAATTGCATTTCACACAACCTAAGTAAAAATAAGAAATTGTTCTATATCCAACTGCTTATTTGTGAAAATTGATGTATAACAAAGTAAAACATTTAAGTAACACTGAAAACTTGTTACAGATCTACATTAGTTCATTTAGATGCCCAGTAGAGAAATTAAAGAATATTAGAACAGTAATTAGTAAAAAAAAAGAGTGATCTAAAGGAAACTAAACATTTATTTATTTTAAGAAAAAAAAAATGGTTTTTCCAAGGCACTGCTACTTTCATATCTCAAAAGGAAAGGAGAAGAATGGATGGGAAGATACCTGAAGTTATGGACATGGGCCAAGTTCAGGAATTGGAACACATTTTCAAGCTCTACAGAAATAATCATGTAGTCACATCTATGAATATATACTTCAAACCAAAAATGAGGTTTTTAAGGCATATACAATTTTGGAAACTTGAGACTTTTATTAAGAAGAATGATGTAAATGAATTTCTACTAATTATATATTCCTAACAATGAAGATTCCTTAAATCAGTCTTCACAAGTTTGTATTGGACAGAAGCCAGAATAAGCATATTTACAAATTAAAGTAAGACTCAAGATTTTTATAAATGTATAAAAACTCACTTTCAATTTTAATTGTAATAGCATTATCTAACTTTTGACTGGAAAAACATTTTTAAGAAGGGGTAAAATGTTTGTCCCACATTATATTCAATTAACCAGATTTAAAGGAGGATATTATTTGGTCTAGGAAGTTTGTATGGAACAACTTATTTGAGGAGAATTTTAGCATCACAGGGTGTTTTTATTTCAATTATGTGATAGCTTGTAGCAAGTGAATATAAAATTTTAGTGCATATTCATATTTTTACTTTAGGTTAATTTGCTTATCATAAGTTAGATTTATATGACATGAATAAATACCCTTGTTGTTCTGTGTTCGTGAAACTTTAGTAGTAATCATTTTGATCCATTTGAGGCCAGAGTGCTAAATTATTTAAAAATATTGAATAATCAAATTTCCCTTGGTAATAGAGTTCCATAAATAGAATGTCATAATTTCTAAGTAAACCTCCAGCTATTTTTGACACATAGTGACTGAAATCTTCCAATCTATGTAGTAGTATATTTCAGAGTATTTTAAACATTTCCAAATACCGAGCAGGTTTAGAATTAAACAATGATTACTAGCCTTCTACTGGTCAAATGTAATGTTCTCTTTGACCTTGATCTCTAAGAATTTTGAGAGGCTCACTGCCTCCTTAGAATGCTTTCACTTTTGTGATATTAAATACTTTTGATTTTTCTGTATTTGCTCTTACTCCTCCATTAATCATCTCCTACTGCCCCCCCCCCCTTTCTATCAGTCACTTTCCCTTAGAAACTCTCTGGGTGTTTTCCCTTAGCCCAGGTACTATCTTAACTCCCATATGTTGTCCATGAATGAATTACCTATAATCTAATGGTCAAGGGGTGGGATCTGGAGACAGTTTAGCCCTGAATTACCGCTCCATTGTTTAATAGCCATTTTCTGTGTTTCTGTTCCCTTTGTAAAATGAGGCGGATGATTGTGAGGATTTAGTTAATATATAAAGTATCTGACATTGTTGGGGCCTCTGCAAGTGTTAGCTGTTAAGTGTTTTTTACTTGATTGCATTTCTACTGTTGGTACTTACCTTGTCCTGTGTTCCAAATACTTTTTTTTATATATCCTTTTTTGTCATGTCCCCTTTCGAAGCCCTAGTTAATTCAAAATTTGGAAGTCCAAAACAATCTTTCATCTTTCTAAGTGACTTAGATCTAACAGTGAACATCTCTTTTCCTAGAAACTGGAAATGTTTGAAAGCTGCTCATTATTCCTCTTCTGTCCATTTTTCAGGTTACAAGAAGACTTGTTAATGTTATTTTGATTTAACTTTCATTTATTTCACTAATTGTTGAGCTAAGTGCCAGGACTGTTCTGTTAGTAAATGATGAATTAAATAAGGCTCCCTGCTCTCAGGTTAAGAAGGACTGAAACTATGGAGAGTGAATGGGTGCATATTTAATAAGTAGCTATGGGGCAGACATTCCTTAGCTTTAAGGAGAGTGGTTTTTATCCCAAGGGCAATGGGAATTTGAATTGGTTTGTCCAGTGGTGATAACTAATTCTAAGTTGAAAATGTCTTTGGCTACTGACTAAACAAGTTGAAGGTGTTTGATTAATGATATGGGAAGTAAATCAAGCAAAAGATTATTGGGCAGCGTTTTTATCAGTCAGGAGCTATGACAGCTTTTACTAGAATGATTTGGGAGGTTAAAATAGCCAGGTCTTGGTGAGGGAAATAGTAGTGCCAAAGAAGAATCTAAAGTTTTTCATTTGTGTTATTGGAACACAAGAGATTAAAACAGGCTTTCATGGTAAGACATGGCTGGTGTGCTAGTGAAATCCTCTTATATTTTGATGTGATCAATACAACAAAATCTATTGATTTTGATTGATTGTATTGATCAGAGTGTAAAAAGGGTGTGTAATTTTGAGATTTTGACTTGACTATTTCAAAAACAGGATGTGAAATGGTGAATTCTGTGTTACCACATATATAGAAATAGATGGTGTGCACATAAAAAATACAGATATTCCAACCATAGGTTCCTAAAAATACCTTGGCGTGTGTGTGTTTCCTTTTACACTATTAGACATTTTTTAATGGAGACAAGCCATTTATCCGTGTTTATCAAGTCAAACAACTTCTGTGCCAGGCAAGGTTCCTAATTGTTGAGGATACATCTCTCAACTGTTACTCAGTTGTTCTATAATATTATAATGCTTTTTGTAGCACTTACAACCACCTCTTCTCCCCTATCAAGTAAATAAACTTAGGGAGACCTAGAGAGTGTTTAGGAAAGGCTGAACACTAAGTCCAAATTCTGTAAAGTTCAGGGCTCTACTAGAAGCATGCAAAGAAAACTGATGGAGACAAAGTATCACAAGTACTGGCATCTTGAAAAGCTGAGCTTATCAGAAATAATAGGTGTGTCAAATGCTGCTGAGAGATCACATAGGATAGTGAATTAGTGTATGCTAGCCGCTACACGTAATACATGACTGCCAAGTCTAATGGTTCATACACAATAGTCCCTACAATCCTCCATATAAGAAACAGAGCTTGATTGACCGAAGTACACTGCTGGGGGAATCAGAAGAGGTCTGCTGAGCCATGTGGATTGCTCCCTGGTCTTAGTCATTTAGAGATACTACTGAATGAAGACTACTATCGCTTCAAAATCACACTAGTCATCTCCACTATGACCAGCTGAAAGAAATATGAAGGATCTCAAATCGG